GAGAAATTTATGTAAATTCTCGAAATGTCTTTTCAATCTCTATTCGACACGTCATTTCCACTGAATGTTTGTTTAAACCAAAATGCATGGGAAAAGAAAAAGTATAGGTGGAATTGAAAGAGACATTTTCGTTTCGAATTCTGACAGTTTCGCTGATAATTCAATTTCACGTTATTTCTTTGATTACTACATTTTTTTTTTACAAACTTTTTTTTAACATATCTGCAACCCCACATACTCTGATGATTGAATTATTTTAAACTAAAGATGTTCAGTATGAAACATGACAGTTCAATTTGAGTATTCATACATGTTGAGATATTTGAATATTAACACACAACAAAATCACTGTCTACGACAGACGATGGCAAGAATAGTAGCACCGTAGATTTTGAAAATACCATCAGATTTCGTAACACTTTGACAGCACTAAGCAGACGAACAGATGACAGCTTGACATATGTCAATTAAAGTTGTTTTAATAAAAATGAGATGGCGCCAAAGTCGAAACAACTTAAATTAATCAATCTTTCACGTATAACAGCATAAAATACAATAAATTTTAATGAAATTATGTACGTAAGAACAAAATTCGCAAAAATTAATCCCGTCGTTTTCCAATTAGAAGCATTATCTTTCCACGTTGACACGATTCATCCCCTATTTATATGTTTTTTTTTTGTTACTTCTGTTGCTTCCCTTGTAGTACAAAGAGGGGATGAAACAGAAAAAGAAAGAAAGAAAGAAAAAAATAATTGGGAGCGCAAGGAACCGCCGGAATTCAATAAGACAACCGAAGGTTTTCATTCCTTAATCCCTTTTCCTCTGTTCCCTCTCATTGCTTCTAGAGACAACAAAAGAAAGTAAATTCCCCAATGTGTGCGAAAGTGTTTTTTCTTTCTTTCTTTCTTTTTTTCTTCATCATCACGTTGTTATTATTATTATTATTATTGCTACTGCTGCTTACGGATCGCAGCAGGACTCGTGTCAATTAGTGGTTTGAAGTGTGCCGATGCGAGTGCAGATGGCAGCAGCGTACAAAAGTCTATATCTCTCTCTCGCTCGACCCTAAATTGAGGGTCGAAGATTTAATGCGGACGACTCGGGTAGGTCCAGAAACGTTATTACAAGATTATCATTATTATGTGTTATTCTTGCTGCAAGCGACGAGATTATTTACGAGGTTTTCCCCGCATCCGCAAAGTAATCATCATCGTCGTCGTCAGAATAAGGAAAGAAAGCAAACAAAAAAAAAATAATAATAATAGAAATTAATCTTCTTCAGAATTCTTAATAGTTGGGATTACCAGTTTGGAGAAGATCAGTTATATGGATTGAAGAGGAAAGTTCGTAGATTAACTTCCACAATGGCGGCGTTCACAAGTATGTTTATTCGTATAACGGTACACAGAGAGAGAGAGAGAGAGAGTAACTAATCTATTTTTAATGCCATTATGTTTGCAAATGTGCTGCTTCAGTATATTGAAAACATTATCATTTAAACCAGGATCAATTTGAATTCTCTCGCTAAAATTCATAAGTGTTGCTTTACATGGTAATGTAAAAACATTTTTTAAATAATTATAACATTTCTTGCTATGTTTAAATATGCTGAGGGCAAAAACTTTATCATCCAAGCAATATGACTTTTCATAAATTTTTGTACAATAGGTCTAAAATTTTTAAAATTTCTATATTTATTGCATTCTCTCTTATATATTTTATTTAATTTTTC